AGGGACGAGTGAGTGATGCACTCACTGCAGCAGCAGTGAGGGACGAGTGAGTGATGCACTCACTGCAGCAGCAGTGAGGGACGAGTGAGTGATGCACTCACTGCAGCAGCAGTGAGGGACGAGTGAGTGATGCACTCACTGCAGCAGCAGTGAGGGACGAGTGAGTGATGCACTCACTGCAGCAGCAGTGAGGGACGAGTGAGTGATGCACTCACTGCAGCAGCAGTGAGGGACGAGTGAGTGATGCACTCACTGCAGCAGCAGTGAGGGACGAGTGAGTGATGCACTCACTGCAGCAGCAGTGAGGGACGAGTGAGTGATGCACTCACTGCAGCAGCAGTGAGGGACGAGTGAGTGATGCACTCACTGCAGCAGCAGTGAGGGACGAGTGAGTGATGCACTCACTGCAGCAGCAGTGAGGGACGAGTGAGTGATGCACTCACTGCAGCAGCAGTGAGGGACGAGTGAGTGATGCACTCACTGCAGCAGCAGTGAGGGACGAGTGAGTGATGCACTCACTGCAGCAGCAGTGAGGGACGAGTGAGTGATGCACTCACTGCAGCAGCAGTGAGGGACGAGTGAGTGATGCACTCACTGCAGCAGCAGTGAGGGACGAGTGAGTGATGCACTCACTGCAGCAGCAGTGAGGGACGAGTGAGTGATGCACTCACTGCAGCAGCAGTGAGGGACGAGTGAGTGATGCACTCACTGCAGCAGCAGTGAGGGACGAGTGAGTGATGCACTCACTGCAGCAGCAGTGAGGGACGAGTGAGTGATGCACTCACTGCAGCAGCAGTGAGGGACGAGTGAGTGATGCACTCACTGCAGCAGCAGTGAGGGACGAGTGAGTGATGCACTCACTGCAGCAGCAGTGAGGGACGAGTGAGTGATGCACTCACTGCAGCAGCAGTGAGGGACGAGTGAGTGATGCACTCACTGCAGCAGCAGTGAGGGACGAGTGAGTGATGCACTCACTGCAGCAGCAGTGAGGGACGAGTGAGTGATGCACTCACTGCAGCAGCAGTGAGGGACGAGTGAGTGATGCACTCACTGCAGCAGCAGTGAGGGACGAGTGAGTGATGCACTCACTGCAGCAGCAGTGAGGGACGAGTGAGTGATGCACTCACTGCAGCAGCAGTGAGGGACGAGTGAGTGATGCACTCACTGCAGCAGCAGTGAGGGACGAGTGAGTGATGCACTCACTGCAGCAGCAGTGAGGGACGAGTGAGTGATGCACTCACTGCAGCAGCAGTGAGGGACGAGTGAGTGATGCACTCACTGCAGCAGCAGTGAGGGACGAGTGAGTGATGCACTCACTGCAGCAGCAGTGAGGGACGAGTGAGTGATGCACTCACTGCAGCAGCAGTGAGGGACGAGTGAGTGATGCACTCACTGCAGCAGCAGTGAGGGACGAGTGAGTGATGCACTCACTGCAGCAGCAGTGAGGGACGAGTGAGTGATGCACTCACTGCAGCAGCAGTGAGGGACGAGTGAGTGATGCACTCACTGCAGCAGCAGTGAGGGACGAGTGAGTGATGCACTCACTGCAGCAGCAGTGAGGGACGAGTGAGTGATGCACTCACTGCAGCAGCAGTGAGGGACGAGTGAGTGATGCACTCACTGCAGCAGCAGTGAGGGACGAGTGAGTGATGCACTCACTGCAGCAGCAGTGAGGGACGAGTGAGTGATGCACTCACTGCAGCAGCAGTGAGGGACGAGTGAGTGATGCACTCACTGCAGCAGCAGTGAGGGACGAGTGAGTGATGCACTCACTGCAGCAGCAGTGAGGGACGAGTGAGTGATGCACTCACTGCAGCAGCAGTGAGGGACGAGTGAGTGATGCACTCACTGCAGCAGCAGTGAGGGACGAGTGAGTGATGCACTCACTGCAGCAGCAGTGAGGGACGAGTGAGTGATGCACTCACTGCAGCAGCAGTGAGGGACGAGTGAGTGATGCACTCACTGCAGCAGCAGTGAGGGACGAGTGAGTGATGCACTCACTGCAGCAGCAGTGAGGGACGAGTGAGTGATGCACTCACTGCAGCAGCAGTGAGGGACGAGTGAGTGATGCACTCACTGCAGCAGCAGTGAGGGACGAGTGAGTGATGCACTCACTGCAGCAGCAGTGAGGGACGAGTGAGTGATGCACTCACTGCAGCAGCAGTGAGGGACGAGTGAGTGATGCACTCACTGCAGCAGCAGTGAGGGACGAGTGAGTGATGCACTCACTGCAGCAGCAGTGAGGGACGAGTGAGTGATGCACTCACTGCAGCAGCAGTGAGGGACGAGTGAGTGATGCACTCACTGCAGCAGCAGTGAGGGACGAGTGAGTGATGCACTCACTGCAGCAGCAGTGAGGGACGAGTGAGTGATGCACTCACTGCAGCAGCAGTGAGGGACGAGTGAGTGATGCACTCACTGCAGCAGCAGTGAGGGACGAGTGAGTGATGCACTCACTGCAGCAGCAGTGAGGGACGAGTGAGTGATGCACTCACTGCAGCAGCAGTGAGGGACGAGTGAGTGATGCACTCACTGCAGCAGCAGTGAGGGACGAGTGAGTGATGCACTCACTGCAGCAGCAGTGAGGGACGAGTGAGTGATGCACTCACTGCAGCAGCAGTGAGGGACGAGTGAGTGATGCACTCACTGCAGCAGCAGTGAGGGACGAGTGAGTGATGCACTCACTGCAGCAGCAGTGAGGGACGAGTGAGTGATGCACTCACTGCAGCAGCAGTGAGGGACGAGTGAGTGATGCACTCACTGCAGCAGCAGTGAGGGACGAGTGAGTGATGCACTCACTGCAGCAGCAGTGAGGGACGAGTGAGTGATGCACTCACTGCAGCAGCAGTGAGGGACGAGTGAGTGATGCACTCACTGCAGCAGCAGTGAGGGACGAGTGAGTGATGCACTCACTGCAGCAGCAGTGAGGGACGAGTGAGTGATGCACTCACTGCAGCAGCAGTGAGGGACGAGTGAGTGATGCACTCACTGCAGCAGCAGTGAGGGACGAGTGAGTGATGCACTCACTGCAGCAGCAGTGAGGGACGAGTGAGTGATGCACTCACTGCAGCAGCAGTGAGGGACGAGTGAGTGATGCACTCACTGCAGCAGCAGTGAGGGACGAGTGAGTGATGCACTCACTGCAGCAGCAGTGAGGGACGAGTGAGTGATGCACTCACTGCAGCAGCAGTGAGGGACGAGTGAGTGATGCACTCACTGCAGCAGCAGTGAGGGACGAGTGAGTGATGCACTCACTGCAGCAGCAGTGAGGGACGAGTGAGTGATGCACTCACTGCAGCAGCAGTGAGGGACGAGTGAGTGATGCACTCACTGCAGCAGCAGTGAGGGACGAGTGAGTGATGCACTCACTGCAGCAGCAGTGAGGGACGAGTGAGTGATGCACTCACTGCAGCAGCAGTGAGGGACGAGTGAGTGATGCACTCACTGCAGCAGCAGTGAGGGACGAGTGAGTGATGCACTCACTGCAGCAGCAGTGAGGGACGAGTGAGTGATGCACTCACTGCAGCAGCAGTGAGGGACGAGTGAGTGATGCACTCACTGCAGCAGCAGTGAGGGACGAGTGAGTGATGCACTCACTGCAGCAGCAGTGAGGGACGAGTGAGTGATGCACTCACTGCAGCAGCAGTGAGGGACGAGTGAGTGATGCACTCACTGCAGCAGCAGTGAGGGACGAGTGAGTGATGCACTCACTGCAGCAGCAGTGAGGACGAGTGAGTGATGCACTCACTGCAGCAGCAGTGAGGGACGAGTGAGTGATGCACTCACTGCAGCAGCAGTGAGGGACGAGTGAGTGATGCACTCACTGCAGCAGCAGTGAGGGACGAGTGAGTGATGCACTCACTGCAGCAGCAGTGAGGGACGAGTGAGTGATGCACTCACTGCAGCAGCAGTGAGGGACGAGTGAGTGATGCACTCACTGAGTGGTAAATAGAGCATTCCTAAATGAACGGAATGGCTGCATGCACCATTCCTCACCACCCCTCTCACCACCCCTCTCACCACCCCTCTCACCACCCCTCTCACCACCCCTCTCACCACCCCTCTCACCACCCCTCTCACCACCCCTCTCACCACCCCTCTCACCACCCTCTCCTCACCACCCCTCTCACCACCCCTCTCACCACCCCTCTCACCACCCCTCTCACCACCCCTCTCACCACCCCTCTCACCACCCCTCTCACCACCCCTCTCACCACCCCTCTCACCACCCCTCTCACCACCCCTCTCACCACCCCTCTCACCACCCCTCTCACCACCCCTCTCACCACCCCTCTCACCACCCCTCTCACCACCCCTCTCACCACCCCTCTCACCACCCCTCTCACCACCCCTCTCACCACCCCTCTCACCACCCCTCTCACCACCCCTCTCACCACCCCTCTCACCACCCCTCTCACCACCCCTCTCACCACCCCTCTCACCACCCCTCTCACCACCCCTCTCACCACCCCTCTCACCACCCCTCTCACCACCCCTCTCACCACCCCTCTCACCACCCCTCTCACCACCCCTCTCACCACCCCTCTCACCACCCCTCTCACCACCCCTCTCACCACCCCTCTCACCACCCCTCTCACCACCCCTCTCACCACCCCTCTCACCACCCCTCTCACCACCCCTCTCACCACCCCTCTCACCACCCCTCTCACCACCCTCTCACCACCCCTCTCACCACCCCTCTCACCACCCCTCTCACCACCCCTCACCAGCCATCACCTGCAGCTGCTGCACCTCGCGCCTCTCTCACACACATTCTCACCACTTCCTCTCCCCTACCTCTCAAACCAACCAGCCCACTTTCCCCCAACAGCACGTTGACAATTACAAACCCATCTCCTCCACCCCGACCCCCAGCCCCAGCCCCCTACCTTCCCCCCAACCTTCCCCTCCCCCTTCCCCCTCCCCCTCCCCCTCCCCTTCACCTTCCCCCCCCAAGCCCCCTCCTCCCCTTTCCTTTTTCCTCCCCCACAAATCGTCACCTGGATGCGGCGCAGCTTGCGCTGCACGCGCTTGCTGTTGCGCCGCTTCTTGCGGTCGTCCACCAGCTCCAGCTCATCGTTGTCCAGCGCCACGTCAGCAGCCACGTCAGCGCCGGATGCCAGCTCAGCTTCGACCCCGTCCACTCGCTGCGGGAGAAATGCAGAAAGGCAACAGTGATATGCAAGGTGGGGCCATAGAGCTCACTCACGGAGTGCCATGCCATGCATGCATTTCACCCACAAAACCGTAGGACCAAGTGACTTTTGCATCGACTATAAAGTCACCCCGAGAGCTTTCCACTCAAAAGGTCATGGTTGTCACGAAACGACATACATTCCACTTACTCAAACTGCCCAAAACCCACCTGATAATACCTCCCCCTCCTGCAAAAGACTTCCTCCTGCTGAAACCCCCCTGCCTGCCTAAAACCCTCCGCCTGCCAAAAAACCCTCTCCCTGCCTAAAACCCTCCGGATGTCTAAAACTCTCCGCCAGTTTCGAAACATCCGCCTGCCTAAAACCTTCCACCTGCGCAGGAGGTCCCTGGCGCGGTGCTCCTAGCAGCACTGCTGCTCCGCCCAGCGCACCTCGCAGGGCTCGTGGTAACGGCTGCCCCGCGCGCACGGCGCAGCGGGCGCGATGACGAGCGCGTTGCTGCCGCCGCCGTCATCCCCCACCGCGCTGCCGTCCTCCCCGCCCAGCGGCAGCGGCGGATTGCCTTCGTGGGCCCCGCGCCTGCCGTGTACGCGGAGATAGCGGATGCGCGCGGAACGGGAAGGGGGAGCCGGGGGGTTGGGGGTTGGGGGGAGAGGGTGGGGGGAGGGAGAGACGAGGAGGTGTGGGAGGAGGGGGGAGCGGGGAGATGGAAAGGGGACCTTAAAGAACGCGCGAGCGACGAGGAGGCGAGGGGGATGAAGAACAGCAAGGGCATTTCCGCGTCGCGCTCGCGAGGTCTACTGAAGTAAAAACTTTAAGATTTAAGGTAAGAGGCGACCGCTGCCGCTACTGCCGTTACCGCCGCTACTGCCCTACCGCCCCGGCACACGAGGCGAGTCCGCGCAACCCGCGCGCACGCGGGGCTCCGCGCTGCCGCACCTGGGTTTCCGCGTGGCGCGCTTCAGCTGCGCCTTCTTCTGCTTCGGCCGCCCCATGCCGCCCGCCTCGTCTGCTCAACTGCTGCCGGCTGACTGCTGGCGGCTCCTGGACGATCGACAAGGTGTGGCGTGAAGCACGCTCTTGGAGTTGCAGATGGGGAGGTCGCGAGTAGGCATAGGTGGTTGTAAGTGGGGTTCAACGAGGTTCAACCTAGAGGGGAATATAAACCAGTCTGGTCTACTCTCTGTTTTACTGAATCTTTAGAAAACCTATTACCTGTTACGGGTGCAATAAAACGGGTAGCGAGAATTGCTCGGAGTTGTCAAACGAGTACAAAGTATGAGTGAAGGCATGAGCGAATACTTACCATATTCCCCCGGATATAGCACACTAGGGTGATCCCTTGTAAAAAAAGGAGGGGGAGGGAGGGGGGGAAGGGGTGGTCTTAAAGCCCGAGTCCCAAATTGTGAGGCGCGTGGGTCAAGCTTTTAAAACTTGATGGTGAGGAGCTTGTCAACTTGAAAGAAGTTCACTTGCAATTTGGGACTTTCGATCTCCCACCAGGGGAAAGACGCGTTTTTGGCTGTGTGTTGCGAAGAAAACGAATTTAACAAAATTGGACCTCTCGCCACACCCCAAAAACAAAACTTCCTTTCCGTCAACCTTTTATAACTTGTGCAATTTGGGCCAACGGCTTTAACACAGGAAAATTAATATACTACCCGGATGTTTTCGTATGACATATTTTTTTATTGTTTTGGACACAACTGTTAATACTGAACTTGCTGGTCTGCTTTTGGCGAGCAACAAGAGAGCGGATCGTGGTTCGCTCCGAATGACCCTTGACCAATCACAGCGTTGTCGGAAAACCCTTGACCAGTCACAACGCATTTGCCTCTGACAGCAATTCCCTCCCCTCCTCCCCCCCCCCCCCCCCCCTCCATGCAGCAAATTCGCCCCCTGACGCAGCAAATTCGCCCCCTGGCGCAGTAGATTCACCCCCTAACACTGCGAATTCACTCCCATACTGTATAATTAGCATCATAACGTGTTCCGGTTTGAATTGTTGATTACAAATCTACATGGAAATCCCCCTATAGAGGAAGGAGGGGGGGCTTATATTGTTCACCCCTCGGGGTAGAATAATTTCGAGGCTTAATAAACACCCCCCCCCGAATTAGCTACACAGGGGTGTTCTATTTTGGGGGAGTCTTACATCTAGGGGATTATGGTATGTGCGAACATGCAAATGGTAACGCGGTGCATGCGAGCTAGCTAGTGCTACGCTAGCATAGAGGTTCGGGCTAGTCCTGAACCGTAGGCCCACACGATCGGGCCAGCGGAGCATGGTTTGGTGAATAGTGCGCGCGAATATTGGCGAAGCCCCGTTAGCAATAACGGGCGAACAACGGCTGCTGCTGTACGCGGTGTTGTAGCATGCGGTAAGGAATGTCGAGAAAAATCCGTACACTAACCACCACCCCCCACCCCCCCAACCGTGGCAGTTGGCTTGTGATTGGGATGTATGGGCGAAGTAGGTTGACGTGGAATGATAGGCTGATGTACCAGTCTGTCGGCAATAGTAAACGGACGGTAACTGGGGTGATCATGTGGCTGATCTGGAAGAGTCCACAATAGCGCGGTCGAAGTTTCGGTACGACGGGCAGTCTTAAGTTATGTGTGTCGAGCAGTACGTAGTCCCCTGACTGGTACGTTACTGGGCGGCGGTGGCGGTCAGCGTTCCTTGTTGCGATCACGCTGGCTTTTTCAATTGCGTTTACAGCCCGCGTTCGGGCAACTTGCAGAATCTCGACGAACTGTTGTCCGGGCTCGGCGTCATGGGCATTGTAGAATTTTGCATGTGTTTCAGGTAGAATGGGGACAGCTGTGTCGTCGCTGACGTGGCGTTGTTGTAGGCGAGCTCGATGAGCAGCAACTGCTGCTCCCATGTTGTCGGGTCGTCACGCGTGGCTCGAATTAGGAGCTCATGGTCTGGTTCGTCCGCCCCGTCTGACCGTTGGTCTCGGGGTGGTACGACGAGCTGAACAATAGCCGGGTCCCAAATTGCTCCTAGTGGTTCTTCCAAAAGTTGCTGGTAAACTTCGTGTCGCGGTCGCTGATTATTGCGGTCGGTATCCCGTGTAGTCGAACGACGATTGCGATGAATAGGTGAGCGCTTTCTTTGGCTGAGATCGATTTTCTGCACGCAACGAAGTGAGCCATTTTTGTCAGTCTATCAACAACGACCATAACCACGTCGTTACCCCTGAGGCTCGAGACCATAACCCCGTGAAAAAATCCATGGTAAGCTGCTGCCAGGCTCGCTCGGGCGGTGGGATTGGCTGCAAATGACACGCCTTTTTCTTGCACGAGCTCTTCATCACCTGGAACGTGGGGCATGATCCCACGTGATGCTGTACGTCGGTCAACAACTTCGGCCGTTGCAGTTGCTGTCGCATTTTTTCTACCATGAAGTGACCCGAGGTAACCCCGTTGTGTGCCTCCTGGAGTAGTAATTCCCGTAGCAATGAATACGCTGGTACCCAGATGCGGTTTGTGCCTGTTTTTACGTAGTAAACTCCCTTTCTTTTTGTTAGCTGCTGCAAATTTCCCGTGGTGAAAAATGGGTCGGTGCGGTATCCGTGGGTACATAAGCCTGTTAGTAGTGGGTTGGTTTGGGCAAGTAGGATGGCGTGAAGTTGGGCAGTGGGGCAGGTGAGAGCAACGGATGTTGGATGCTCCTTTTATGTAAGTGACGGTGTAGTGGACGTTGGACTCCAGATAGTCCAACCAGCGCATCTGTCACGGATTGAGGTTCGGTTGGGCGCGGAGGTACTGTAGTGAGCGGTGATTTGTCCGTGTCAGCTCCGGTGAGGTAGCATCGCCACATTTTGAACGCGTGCACGATCACCATCATCTCCCCGTCGTATATCGGGTAGTTGCGTTCGAGTGGGTACAACTTGCGGGACTCGTACACGATTGGCTGAAGGCTGTTCCCAAAGTCCTGCAACAGTACTGCCCCTACAGCGATGTTGCTTGCGTCGGAGACCAGTTCGAACGGGCAATGTGGGTTGATGATGTGCAATATGGGCGGCGAGCACAATATTTTCTTAAGGGCCAAGAAGGCAGCTTGCTCTTTCTCCCCCCATGTGTACTCAACCCCCTTCCTCAGCAGGTCGGTCAACGGGGCAGCCAACTGCGCCGTGTCGGGGACGAACCGTCGCACGTAGTTGACGAACCCTAGAAAACTCTGCAGCTCAGTCAGGTTTGTCGACGCGTGCCATGCTTGAATCATATCCATAGTTTTCGGGTCTATTTCCACTCTGTCAGCTGAAATAATGTGCCCTAGAAACTCCATTCCGTCTGGTAAAAACTCACACTTTAGAGGCTTTGGTTAGTAGGCGGTTCTCACTAAGTATTTTAAATACTGCTTCGATGTCCTTCAGGTGCTGGGCTCGGTCAAGGCTGCAGATCAGTATGTCGTCTAAGTATACGATCACACACTTATCTAACTGTGGGCGAAAAGCTTCGTTCATGGTCATTTGGAAAGTGGCGGGGGCGTTGGTCAGTCCGAAGGGCATGACCGTGTATTTGAATGATCGAAAGGCGGTTTTCTGGCAGTCGGGTGGTTGACGCGGATCTGGTGGTAACCCACTCTCGAAGATTGATTTTCGAGAAAATTCGGGCTGTGCGCAGTTGGTCTATCAGTTCGTCGGCTCGCGGGATAGGGTAACGGGACTTGATGGTAACTCTGTTTAGTGCACGGTAATCTATGCACATGCAAAATCCCCCACTTTTTTTTCCGGTCAGAACAGTATCGGTGTGGTGAAGGGCGACGAACTCAGGCGAATAACATTTTTCTCGAGCAAGTAATCTAGCTGCTTCCGCAGTTCGTCCAGTTTGGGTTGGGTCAGTCGGATCTGTCGCTGTACTGTCGGCTGTGCCCCCAGTTCTAGTTCTATCCTGTGTCGTGCGGTCGGTGAGGTGGCAGTCCTTCCGGTAAGTCTTCAGGAAATAACCCGCTGTACTGCTTCAGTAGTGCTGCCAAGTCATCTGGTACGTCGACGAGCAGTTTTTGCAAATCACTCGGCTTATCTGTTGCCTGGGCTTCCCGAATGTCAACCGCCGCTACGACGCGTTTCATCGTGATGTTGACTCATGCGAGCTCCAGCGAGGTAGGGGGATGTTGTTACCATTCACTTGCATAGTGCAGTCACCCGTTGTCCAGTCGATTCGCGGGTCGTGTCGTCGCAACCAATCACGGCCGAGTAAAATGTCGGTTCCATCAAGGGTCGTTGCCGGCATTTCGTGGGTAAGCGTGAAGTTACCCCCGCATCGTATCCGACCTCGGTCCACGTGTTCCTGTATCGCCAGCGGCGCGCTGTCGACCAGTCGTGCGTCGATCTCAGGTAAGCATCAGTCCAATGTCGATTACAATCTTCGTACAGTTGAGGTGCTGATGAGGATATGGCTAGGCCCCCCGTCTACTAATACTTTTCCTAAGTATGTCTGTATTTCCCGCTAAGTAATATGGGACAGTCCACCGTTGTACCCTTCTTATTCGGCTGGGTGTGGTTGATTGTGTGACCCAGCACAATCACTCGGTGAGAGTCGGTTGGGTTGGGCGAGTGGCGTGACCTGTCAATGGAGGGCCCGTTTGCTACTGACTCCCAGCGTTTCCCTGCTGCTAGGTCTGTTTCTGGTGCTCGACTTCCCCCTTTCCCTTAGCGTTTTCTGGGCATTTACTGTTATAGTGCCCCGGCCTGCTATACGCGAAGCAGCGCCCTTTGAATGGTGCGGCAACAGCATTCGCGGTGATGGCGCATATCATGGCAT